TTTCAAAGATGAGGTCCTTAGACGCTTGAACAAAACAACACAACTGGTCAATACAATAAAGAGACGTAAGCTGGAATACGGTCATATTATGAGACCCTGAAAAATATGAACTCTTTTATCTGATCATTCAGGGAAAGATCCAAGGTAAACATCTAAAATAATAGTACCGAAAATCTACCACATTATTATTTAGTGCTGCTGTCAATAAATTTACGACAGCTAATATGGTAGCCAACATAATATCCAACGACCGATAATGATCATGGAACTAGAGAAGTTTCAAAGTTTTTACTTGGTGTATTACTTACTGTATACTTACCTTCAAAGGTGTATTATTGTATTGTTTAGACGATTCAGGCACAGAAATATCTCCATAGCTTCTTGAGTTACCGGAATTGATATCGTTTATTGAACTACTAGGTCCAGCAACGGCGATACCAGTCATATTATTTTGAGAAATAAGAGAAAATTCTTGCAGAAAAATATATTTTGCTGTTGCTTCAGGTTCAAAAGGAATAATTCCCCAAGTTATAAAACTACTAGTTGCATTTTCTACAATTGCTGATTTTCTCCAAGCAAAGTTACGAAGCGTACCACACTGCAGCCGGGTGATATGGTTTAAGGAATTGTAGTTGATCTTGTGATATTTAAAGAAAGCACGATCTAATGGTTGGAGCCATTGGCTGGTGTGGAGAGAAATACTCATCAAAATTATTTCAATATTTTCAGCAAACTCCAGCATTTCAATGCAACTAGTATGCGAGGTGTGTCTATCAAGTAGAACGAGCACTTTTCTTGCTGGTTTTTCTGGAGTAAGATGGATTTTCTTCCAATTAAAAAATAAATCAGTATTTACATAGCCAGATTTTGGATTCTTCTATTTGATTATGCCAAAAGTGGTAAGAATGTACCCTCCCTATTTACACATGTTAATATTGAAATTGTTTTAAATTTTCCTACGAAGTAATAGACGTTACATTCTTAGAACCTTTTAAGGCAATTTAAACTCTTCCAGGTTTGTTGTTGAATTGTATACCTGTTTCGTCCATGTTGAAATTGTTTCCAAGTTTATATATGAGACTGTTTTCCAAAACATTTTTTAAGAGGTCAAAGTAGGCTTTGACAGCTATTTTATGTAAGCCCTTTGCGCTTGCAATAGATACCCCTTTAGATTGTCGAATGGAAAGAAGATTGTGTCCAAGAAAAGAAAAGCTAGTCATGGTTTGGTTTCATGGTTAAAATTATGTATTATTTGCAGAATTTCTGTTAAATAATAAACCATGAAACGTACTGAATCTCTGGTTGGAGTAAAGCCCGTAGATTTTAACCTTTTTTTTTGCTCTTTTACAACTCCTAACACTGACCTTTTTGTCATTGAACTTTTAATAAAATTCTATGAATTAGGACGCCTTTTTATAGTGGTTTTTGGGATTTCAAACGCCGTTAATGCAGAATTAATTTACTATTTCCTTATTCTCAACAGCTTTGACTGCATTTTTTAAACTATCTTCAGACTATTCTCCTCTTTCAGACGTGCCTTTTCTCTTATAAGAAATATGCATTTTTCTCTGACAAAAAGAAAACATTTATAGGGATTCGACTTTGAATTTGAAATAGGATGTTTAAAAGTAATATTAAATTTAAAAATATACAACTATTCCAAATTTCACTAGCTCATCTATTATAATTATCAGGGATAGATGGACCAGCTCTCCATTCAAACAAACAACGCACCCGGCATGCCTTTTTAGGTTAAGAGTATCTCTAGATGTAACCTAGATTTAACCTATCTTATCTATCAGTCCCTGCAACTCTTTTTAATTTGCCAGGTTGATCGACCACGTGACCTAAATGGCCAATGAGAAGGTCACGTGGTCGATAAACCCGACTCATTAGACAGAGATGCAGAGGCTGCTTTGCGTTAATTTTCTCTGTCGCATTGGAGGAACTTGACTGTATTGTAGCAGTCAGTGTTTCTTGTATTATTTATGTCTTATGGGTATGACCGTGGCAAAGATAAAAATTTACCCTATTCCAATACGGTCCGTCCCAAACCCTTTTTTCAGTGCGTCATAGTTGATCGAATTCTCTCTAACGCATAAAGTTAGAAGTGACAGAAAAAGACGTGAGTCTGTGATTATTATACATAGGACATAGAAAATTATGTATCGTTCACGAGTATTTGCATATTAAAGTGAATTCTACTTACGGATGTATAATTGGTTGGAGTTTAGAATATGCTAAATAGATATCCAATCAATGATGCGCATAAATATAATTTGACGCAGATTATCTTGATCATGACAATACTTTCACAATGTCAACTGATAAAATGATAATTGTCATTCCAGGTTAGTATTTTCAGACATTTTACAGTGAAAATTTAATTTTGTATTTATTGTCATAAAAATATTTTAAATATGCTGAGATATACCGAGAAAGAACAAAGACTACATACCTATTTAAAAAAAAATAACCTTCTCACATTTAGTAATTACGATCCTGAGACTGTCAGATTTAACTAAAATGTCAAGCAATAATTTTCGACATTCTTAAAATCCTATATGACGTCACATTTAGTGACGCACTGAAAAAAGGGTTTGGGACGGACCGTAAGTACTTTTCCTCTGTGGATGGTTACCATCCTAACATAGGGGTAGAAAATGTTTTAAAAAAAACCATGGTAATCGCTAGAATAGTTAATGTGAAGAAAAAAATTATTCTTTAGAGTTTTTTAGAAAACTTAATATTTTTGAGTTATTTGTTATAGAGTTAGTCAAGCAAAAAACATTTCGAATTAATTGAAAAAAGACATGGGGTAGCAGACATATTTTACAGTAATAACGCCAAACTAGAAAATGTTGAAACCTGGTAGGTACTGTGCAATATTGTTATATGAAATTATTGAAGGATATTTGCAGCCAATCAGAATGCAAAAAATGCCTGCACCAAAAGAACTTATAAAATTGATTTTTTGTAATTTCAAAAAAAGATTTTATTGCATTATGCAGTGGCTGAAAAGTTGGGCTTTTTTGCAATCCAACTTATAGTGGATGTTTGATTTAAAGACAATCAGAATGAGAAGGACGTCACTACTGGCGATTTTGTATTTGTAAATACTTATGAAAAAAATTATGGATTTAATGTACAATTTTTTAAAGTAAACGTTTTACATTACCTTCAAATAATTGTATCATTATAAAACCTGCTGTGAGATTAAAGGTGCAGTTTTATAATTTTTGACAATAGGGGTTATTTTCACCCCTCAAAAATACTATTAATCTATTGACACCAGGTAGATGTTGAAGTACACATCTATAAAATATTTAGACTATGTAATAACGGAGACTTGTAAGTGTTGCAATATTAAAATTAAGGGTTTATTTATTTAGAGTGTGGCGAACATGGGCAATATAATTATAAATAATTATAACCTATTATATATACATATGTATATATATATATATATATATATATATATATATATATATTAAACCTAGAGCTAAGATTATTACTACTATAGGAATTAATATTAAAGTTAACAATCATCCGGGATAAACCGCGTCGATTATCATTGCAACGAGCTGGAAACTGATTCATCCCTACCGTTCCTCGATGTTACCATAAATAAAAACCAATATCAAGGTTTTCATCACTTTGTTTATTAAAAACCAATCCATACGAATCGTAACTTGCATATCAACTTTTATCATCCCCTTCACAAATTAATTAAGTCAATAATACGCTGGTCATTGGATCAATACGGCTTTGCGATAATACAAGTAGATCCGTTGAGCTCTCTAGTTTAAAACAAGCCCTCATCCAAAACGGTTACCGCGAAAATCACGTCAATTGGGGCATCTACAAAGATCAATCTCTCACTCAATCGTAACCCAAAGACTCATACTTTCATGATACGAAAGCTTTTCTTTCTGACATCAAAGGTGTCACTGACAAAATCGATAAAAGTCAATGTTTATTCCCAACAAAAACTTTCATCTCTCATTCGATCAATTAAAGACAACATTCCAAATGAACAACACGAATTTTATGAAATTCCTTATACAGACTGCCCCGATCCTATATAGGCCAAACAAATCGTAGAATCAAAAATAGGAATTAAAAACATTCCATTTTTGGTCGCAATTCCGACTCAATTTTAGCTCTAGGTCAACATTATCTTCATACAGGTCACAAAATTGATTTTAAAACTTCAGAACCATAGCCCCCATCCACTTCTATAAACCAAGAATTTTCCGAGAAGCCATAGAAATTTAAAAAAAAAGCCAAATTGTCTCAATAAAAGAGATGACGGTATACGGTTACCTTCGACTTGGAGACCCCTTAAAGAAGATAAAGAAATTACCGTTTGCTCCAACCGTCAACCAAAATCCTACTGACATAAACGTTCGCGCCAACCCCCGCGTCAATCAGTACGCTAACCCTCACGCCAACCTTCCACCCAAAACACGTCACCATCCACCCAAAAATATTTATCAGATGTTGACATAGATTAGTAGATAGAGTAGATTTTAAAGTGAAGGTTATATTGAGCTTACCCACAAATTTTCATGCAAATCAATGTATATAAAAACATTCTAATGTTTTCCAATATTTTTACCGTTATATCCTCTTCTACTTAGCCATATAACTGAGAAGTCTAGTATAGAGAAGAAATTTTTCAACCCTCCACACGAAACAAACGAAGTTTTCTTCTATAATACACATTTAAATAATGAGAAAGGTTAATATAATACTATAAGAAGCGTTCCGTCTACTCAAGAGCAATAACTACACTCAGCGACTGCAGCGCTGCTGTGGGAGATCAGTTGCAGAGACCAGTATTTGATCGGTTTTTCTATACCGGTGGTATATCTATTCCTGACTTAGCCTACTTTTTAATATTTTCTTTAGATGTTTTAATGATTGTAACACCTTATATACACGTCTTGTCGTGCTGAACCACGATACCAACAAGGTAGAGAAAATTAAATACAAAATACGAGAAATTAAATATATATTATCGTAATTAAAGAACAATTGTTCCTTTCAATTTTATTGTGAAATGTTTTCATTGATCCAGTCAACAAAGTTGGCTACATTGGTGAATACATCAGGGGCTCCCTTGCTATTGCAAGGGGTGATGATCCAAGTGGTGATACCAATGACAACATCATTTTGGGTAAGAGGGCTACCGGTATCCCCGTCGCAGTTGTTAGCTCCATTTGCCAATACTCCTGCACAAAGGTTGCTTTTTTCATCCAAAGGGCTTTCCTGTTGCAATAAATCGTCAAGAGCTTGTTTGCAGTCTAAAATCAAGGGAATTTAGATTAGATTAAGCTAATTTTTGCAGTTATTTTACATACCATCGTAACTTATAAGAGGCAAGTCTGAAATGTAGCCTAAAGTGTTGAAATCAGGCAAGAAGCTGTCACCATATCCAACAAGATCAGCTGATCCATTAACTGCTGCTCCTTGCTCGGGCAAATTAGCGGCTTTAACGGCATCGTTAAGCTTCAAAGGTTCCTTTAGTTTGACTAGAGCAATATCGTTGGGCCCAACTCTAAAAAAATTAAAATTAACTAATAAAACCAAAAGAACTTAAAAAAAAAGATGAAAAGAGGTATTAAAAAGTCAGACAATTAATTAGCAAAGCAGTGTATTGGAAAACAGGAATTTTATTACCTTATTTCGTTAAAGATTTAAATAACTAGGTATAGTATAACTTTATAACAATAAGAATATTTTAAGTGCTCTAATATCCATAAAATCACTCAGATACTTTTCTTGGAATTTAATTAATAATAAAATCTGTTATTCTCTAATCATCGCTTCCAACAAATCCAATGAGGCTTGGACGTATTGTAGATGTGATAGTAGTATGAATATAAATTCCATAATTTATTGTTTTAAAAGCGACTAGAGAAAATACTATTTGACAACGTCAGTATAATGAAAAAGCGCTGAATGACACCAGACAACCTTGCAAGAGAATTTTTCATTAGGACATATCCCATATCGTGCTGTTCTATCTTTACGTCGAGATAAGGTTTGAGCTAGACAGACGACTGGTACCAGGGTACTACGTTATAAGCAAGGAAAAGATTGGCTATAGACAAGAAAAAACACATTTTACCTCATCCAAACATGCATGGCTGATGTTGCCAAATATATCGAAAAATTTTGAAAATATCACAAAAAATTAATAACAATAAAGTTTTCAAAAATTGAATATTTTGTATGCTTTATAATTATATATATTTTAATGATGAATATATATTTTGTATGTATAATCATTAGATAGATAGATATAAGATAAGATACTAGAAGAACTTAGCGGGTCAACACAATTCGGTTTTAAGGGAGGACTAGGAACAAGAGAGGCAATTTTATGTTTGAACACCTTAATACAAAACTGCTTAGATCAACGAAAAGATGTCTACCTCACCTTCATCGACTACGAGAAGGCATTTGACAATGTTAAACATGATATCATGATGGAACTACTACATAGGGCCAACATTGACCAGAAGGAGATCAGAATTATTCAGAATCTATACTGGAACCAAATGGCAAAGGTGAGGATTGATCAAGACCAATATACGGATGAATTTGAAATCCAGAAAGGTGTCCGCCAAGACTGAATACTCTCTCCGATGCTTTTTAATTTATATGTTGAAAATATATTTGCGGAAGCATTAGAAGATACGGAATTAGGCATTAAGGTGAACGGCATACCAATTAGCAACCTACGCTATGCGGACGACACAGTGATTATAACTGATAATTTGGAAGATCAGCAGTTATTACTTGATAGTATGGCCTCAAAATCAACATTTTGAAAACGAAATATATGGTCATTAGCAGAAACCCTCCAGAAAACCCGATATTATGCATAGGTGACAATCGTATAAATCGCGTGAAAACTTTTAAATACCTTGGCACCACAATCAATGACCAATCGGATCCACAACACGAGATAAAAACCCGAATACAAATGGCAAGACCAGCTTTTGTGAAATTCAGACCGCTCCTATGTAATCAACACCTAAACTTCGAAATACGCTACAGAATGGTCAAGTGCTACATATGGTCCATCTTGCTTTATGGCATGGAAACGTGGACTTTGAAAAAAACATCTATCAACAAACTTGAAGCATTTGAAATGTGGTCATTGAGAAGAATGATGCGCATACCTTGGGTGGATAGAGTTCGAAACGATGACGTCCTTAATAGAGCCGGCGTGGAAAGAGAACTCTTTGAATTAATTAAAAAACGCAAGATTGGGGACCTTGGGCACATATTGAGAGGAGCAAAATATGAAATACCACAGTTAATCCTACAAGGGAAGATCGAAGGTAGGAGAGGAGCCGGCCGCAAACAATTGTCCTGGTTAAGGAATATTAAAGAATGGACAGGAATACACAATACAGTGAGCTGTGTCACGCCGCCAAGAACAGAATTCTAGTAATGAGATAGTCGCCTACGCACTTTGGTGTATGGAATGTTAAGAAGAAGAAGAATCATTAGAGATGTGAATTGTTGGAATTGATTCTACAGGGAAAAGGTGATGGAAAGATAAAATCAGAAAGACGACCTTACTTGGTTTAACATACCAATTGTTGAATTGTTCAGAGCATCCATAAATAAAGTATTCATTGCCATAATGGTTTAAGAAGATATATTTCCTTTTCTCTGTATAGTTGTTTCCTCATTACTGGGTGTCATGAGCAATTATCTTTTTTCAACATCTATTTTGGGCTGGTTTTAAGGCCTCAGAGAATGTTTTGACACTCTCTCTCTAAAAAGCTAAATTTTGAACAACTAATAAGAACAGCTGAAGACAGAGAAAAGTTTGCATTTGTAGTAGCCAACATCCACTGAAGAAAGGACGCTTTAAGAAGATGTATATATATTTACAAACACACACACAAACACATACACACACACACACATATATATATATATATATATATATATATATATATATATATATATATATTTATATATATATATATATATATATTAATATATATATATATATATATAAATATATATATATATATATAAATATATATATATATATATATATATATATATATATTAATATATATATATATATATATATATATATATATATATTTTAGTTTTTAAAAGTTTTTAAAATACAGAGAACAGAGAAGAAAATTGAAAAAGATTTATTTTGAGATATAAGCATAATGATATCAATGAATATTAAAAAGAACATTACGGTAAAAATTTGTGTATAAACAATTCAGTACACAAAGTTTAGATTGTAATAGATGATATAAATATTGTATGAATAGAAAGTGTTTTGTTTCAAAATTCAGGGAAAAACCATTTCTATGCTCTTAGATTTACACTTACATTAAATTTAACGTTTTTAAGTGCTATGTTTTTTTTTAATTCCGCAATACAGGCAAAACTGATTCAGGGTTGGATATTCTAGTGTCAATATTTAAAGAAAGAGCTTTTTGTGATAATTTTTCGACTGTTCTAACAACCATTCAAATTTCGTCATTGTGTGTCATGTGGAACAATTTCACCCAATCATGTCTGATGCACCCAACATTAGACTGATAATTGCATTCAGTGCAATTTTCAATCCCTATGACAACACGATCGAGTTTGACAACTTCATCCAAATAAATTTCAAAATGTCACGTTTTTCAAAATCTAATGTTAACTTAAATTTTAATAATTGTACTTTCACTAACTGTACTTTAAATAAATAAATGTTTCGTTATGTTGAGTTATGATTTTTTTTCTAAAAATTATCCGCCGAATATCCCTCGGACATTGATGAATGCCTCATAATTTCATGACAAATTTCTCAAGCTCGTTGCTTGGTAACAGCACTCAGCCTTAGGCTTCGTGCTGTTACCAAGAAACGAGCTTTATTCGTCATGAAATTATCTCGTCTGTTATCAATGTCCTAGGGATATTACTACTGATAACAATTTCTGGCTGCCTTTTTTATGGTAATTTTTATTTTTTGAGATTTATGTCTTTACAAACTATTATTAGAGCGGCATTTTTAGAGCGGCAGTCAACAGAGTCCGCATAGCCATGATGATTTCCAACCTTCGATAGAAGATGGAACTTAAAGAAGAAGACAAACTATTATAGTTATATAGTTATACCAGAGAACTCTTTAAAAAAAAGTGGTTATCCTTTTAATTACATTTAAAACATTTATACACAACCTTATCAGTGGCTTTGATTAATAATAAAAAAAAAGACTTTTTTGTCAACGTTTTTTTAATAAATAATTAATTTTTTACATTACTGACTATTCAGTATGACTCATTTTTTAGCAAATTCAAATAAAATACTAATGTAGGTATTTGTTAAATTCTAAAATCTAAAACCATTGTATTTGTTATTTCATTTCATGACTTCTGTATGTCACAATGACTAAAACTGAAGAAGTGCAGAAATACTACACGAAACGTTTTCTATTAAAAGATTTAAATAATATTTCCTTTATTTCATTCTCCTTGACCGATAACCTCAGTTACAGTAAGATTTTAATCTCATTCTTTGTATATATATATATATATATATATATATATATATATATATATATATATATAAAAGAAAAAAAATAAAACTTTTAGCGAAAGCCGCTATCGCTTTATTAAATTAAATGGCCAAATATATGGCCTAGAAGGGACAAATTCGTTAAACTTCCCGTGCTCGAATCGCTATCAATAAAGTGTTATGATCATTTCGGCCTATCCCAGCCTCATCAGACACTTGGGCTGATACAAATTTAAGCTCGGAAAGTCCAACGAATGTCTCCCAAAACTTGCCACCTGCTATGGCGGCCGTGAACGAAACGATATGATAATATCGTTTTCTGTATCCTTTTCGCTATGCGAAATGTGTAAAAGATTAAATCTTTTAGCGAAAGCCGCTATCGCTTTATTGAATTAAATGGCCAAATATATGGCCTAGGAGGACAAATTCGGTAAACTTGCCGTGTTCGAATCGGTATCAATAAAGTGTTATGATCATTTCGGCCTATCCCAGCCTCATCAGACACTTGGGCTGATACAAATTCAAACTCGGAAAGTCCAACGAATGTCTCCCAAAACTTCACTACACCGTAGTTAGCTTACAAAGGCTCCACATGCTTTGGCGGCCGTGAACGAAACGTGATTATATATATATATATATATATATATATATATATATATATATATAGAAACGTTTTTATATATATATATTTATATATATATATATATATATATATATATATATATATATATATATATATATATATATATATACGGTCTATTTTGAAATTTAATGGGTAACATTTTTAACTTTTATTACATTAATAAGCTAGTGCCTATTTTCTTTGCTAGTATTTTTTTAATTGTTCAATGTTTAACTTGAACAAAACTTGAAAAATTGTTCAATGTTTAACAAAATATGAAAGTTGTAAATGAACACAACACAGTCTAAAAAAATAGTGACAAAAATATATAAAGTTATTTTATTTAAAAACTGCAAGATATAGGTATATGGAATACTAATACAGATCGATATGAGAAACATAGTATTCTAAAATAAAGAATCAGATACAGCAGTGTGGTCTAACCTAAGGCACGCTCGCTAAACTGCGGCCCCCGTAAACACATTTCAAAAATATTGCCATCGATAACTTTTACCTTGCCATTGATAACACTCACTCCCGATGAGCGGGCAGTTAGCTTCAGTCAGCTGCACGTGTCGTGTTGAATTAACAGTAACGAATAAATTCAATGTTAAATTCAGAATGAGTAGTGTCAAAAAACGCAAAAATTTTCGGAGAGAATCGTACGTTTCAAGGAAAATGGAAAAATACTCGCGGTATCAAAAGAATACAATATAAGTAGGCATTATGAAACCCAACACAAAACAAAATACGACAAATATCAAGGTGAAGGTCGAAATACTCTTGTAAAAGAACTTGAGCCAAATTGAATAAACAAAAATCTCTATTTACAAAACCGACAGCTGTTCAATCATACATCTTAGTAACATCATATAAAGTATGTTTAGAGCTCGTCAAAATTAAAAAAGCATTTGGAGATGGAGAAATGATCAAGCGGTGTGCCGTTAAAATGGCGCAATCCTTTGGAGATTAAAAGATGGCCAAAAATTTTAAATATGTTTCAGTTTCCCATCAAACTGTATCTAAAAGAGTTAATGAGCTTAATATCATGTATTTACAAAAAATGGTCGACACAGTTCGTGATTGTTTATACTACTCCTTAGCCCTGGACGAATCTGTTGATATTAGTGACAAAAATCAACTTTTATTTTTTGTTAGATGCATCAATGAAGATTTTTGTGTAACTAAGGAACTTCTAAAACGGCACCACATGGAAGACGGGGCCAAAGGTATAAATATATTTCAAGCAGTTAGTGACGCTGTGAGAAATATAGGCTAATTCCTCAAGAGAGGAATGGGACGCAAGAAAATGTCCTGGCTCCGAAACATAAGGCAATGGACAGAGATTAACGACATACAATCTCTGATACATATTGCAAGAAATAGAGAGTTAATGGAAAATGTGATCGCTAACATCCATTAGTGGATTTGCATCTGAAGAAGAATATATATATATATATATATATATATATATAATATATATATATATATATAAAACAAGTTTTATATAAATATTATTTTTTTGCATAATAAAAAAATTATAATATATTATGAACTAAATTTTTTCTATTTATGTTAAGGATTTAATGATTTTATTTTCATCAAAAGGGATGCTTGTAAGGGTTGAAAAAAGTAGGCTCTTTTTATTAGTAAAAAATTAATTTTTGTCTACAAACAGTGCACTCTAAAAATGTTTCAAATCGTTAAAAATATATTTTAGTTTATTTTTGACAAAGGGGGTGGTTGTGAGGGTTGAAATGTTGAAATTATAATAAAATGTTATTTTATATGCAAAAAATTAATATTCGTTAAATAAAATTCTCTCATGAAAGGTTTCAAACCGATAAAAATATTTTTTAATTCATTTTCATATCATTTTTGTCATAAGGGTGGTTGTAAGAGTTGTAAAATTTCCAATAAATAAAATAATATTGTATAGCTAGGGTATTAATTTTTATTTGTATTTAAATACATAATTGAAATGTCTCAAGCTGCTACGACTTTTTTTTTCATATTATTTTTATAAAAAGTATTAGCTTTTAAGGGTTTTAAGGGTTGAAAATTGTGAATAATTAATTTTCATATTAGAGAACACATTACGATATTTATGTTATGCGAATAAACAAGATTTAAATGCATAAAATAATTAAATCCGTGTTTTTCCCAGTTTGTTCAATAAGGGGTCGTATTTATAACAAAGTTTAAGAACAAAACATTTCTTCATGAACTGGCATTTCTAACAGACATTACCTCTCACTTAAATACATTAAACCTACAACTCCAGGGGAAAAATAAAACCGACCTCACATATTTTCCTGCGTTCTGTCTTATGTCTTCTTTCGAAATAAATCAAGAAGAAACCATGGTCGATTTCTCGAGGTTTGCAAAAATTTTTACAGAAATGAAAAGAAACTTAGATGAAAGGTTTTCGGAATTTGATGCACTAAAACCCTATCTTGAGCTTTTTAACAATCCAATGGGAGTCAACATCCAGAACCAATCAGCAGAATACCAATTAGAGCTGTGCGAACTACAGTCCGATTAATTTTTTCAAGCAAAGAAAAATAAAAACATTAGTACCTTTTGGAAGTTAGTCTCCAATGATTGTTTTCCTAAACTTCGTAATTTTACATTAAAACTATATTTATTATTTGGTACGTACATATGTGAAAGTACATTTTCTGCTTTGCAACGTGTTAAATCTAAAACAAGTAATCGCATGGAAAACGATTCTCTGGAAGAGACTCACTACGACCAGCATACATATAGATTGCAAAAGTTAGTAGAGGATATTTCTTTTGTATATTATTTTTTTAAAATAAACTTTTTTTTTAACGAGTCAAGTTCTCTGACCCTTCATAATAATTTCAAATTTAATACGGCCCGCAATGTCTAAACGGTTAGACAACACTGATATACAGGGTGTCCCATTGGAAAAAAGAAATATGGCTAAAATTTTAGGATGCCTGTTTTATGCTAATTTTGACGGCATCCTGTACAATGAAAAAGCCAATTCCACACTGTAGACGATAAAGCTGTACGTGATTAATAGGTTCCTAAGGAATTTAAACCTTTCTTCCGATTAAATTAAAGGATAACTGTATATACATGGTAAAAAACTGTAATTTTCATATATAAACCATTTAAATTAAGAACGGTTCACAATAGGTATAGAAAAGTATTAACAAAAAATGTTCAGAATAATGTTAATATTACTCCATACTCCAATGGACATATTCCACTTAAAAATATTTACATTTGCATACATTGTCGTAGTTAGGCCGTTAGCCTGCTTAGGTATTAAGGCAACTATGTAAGCAAGTATTTAGGCAAACATATGTTACTTACTCTTGTGAGTTATAGTCGGGATGAACCACCCATTGTTCAATATCAACAGTCTGTTTATTGGGATCATCTCCTTGTAGCTTAACAGCGCCGGCTACTACTTTGTTAGCAGCATCCTGGCATTCTGCAGATGTAAGTACCCAGTTTTCATTTAAGATGACACCTCCACAAACGTGTGAGTTAATAAACAAAAAACTTGATTGAAGTGAAACTACCCAGGGGAATTGTCCATCTGTAGCCTGTGTAGAACCGTCCAAACCTAAGCCATTGCGAGTGTTTCTAGCTCTTATTTGGTGGAATCCTGAAAAAAAACATATGTGTAAATAAAAAATAAAATACAATAGTTTTTTCTGAATTGTATATACGTTACGGTTAAACGTTAGGTCAAAACGTTACGTCACTGTGGTGAAGATAATTTTTTTCTTTTTGTAAAAATATCACTTTTTCATATGAATTTTTTTGTTAAAGATAATAAATCCTAATTATCTTCTTTAGTGTTTACCTGGTTACTGTTGATTGGAGATTTGTCAACGACTGATTAATTAAAGATAATATTGTAAAGGCTTACAAAAATAGGATATTCTAGTGAAGAAAGAATAGAATTAGTTAAGCTATACTATGGAAATAATCAGTGTGCTAAGGCTACGGCAAGGATCTTTAATACGAACCACCCAGAAAAAAAGATAAGTTACCAATACCAACATTTAACTGATAAGTTTAAAGCTACAAGTGACGTTTAACAACACAAAGCACGAAGTAGACCGTCGAGTGCGGAATAAAGCAGTTGAAGTATTGGTATTGGGTCATTTATAAATTGATAATCGACAGTATATCAGACAAGTATCTCGTGCATTTGGTGTATTGGCATATAGTGTTTATCGAATTATAAAATCCCATAAATTTCACCCATATAAAATACGACTACTTCATCAATTAAATGAAGATGGTCCTGATCATCGGCTTCAAATGTGTGAAGAATTTAGTGAAATGATAAATAATAACCAACATCGATTGTACAATACGTGTTTTTCCGACAAGTGAACTTTTATGTTAAATGGTGAAGTTAATAGACATAATTGTCTTTATTGAAGTAACAGTAATTCTCATTTACTCATAGAGACACATACACAAACAAACACCTCAGAAATTAAATGTATGGGTTGACATGTTAGGGAATCACATTATTAGACCAATATTTCTTAAAGAAAATCTCAACGCAACACCTTTTTTAAATTTGTTAGAAGACGTCATTGATCCGCTTATTACTGGCACATTGCAATCTGATAAAAATCTTTTAAAGGATGAACTGACTTTCCAACAGGATGGGGCATCCCACAATATAATATACGCTTAAAACAATTTTGAAATAAACATTTTCTAGGGCGTTGAACTGGTAAAAAGGTTTCAATAGAGTGGCCAGCCAGATCAAAGGATCTTTCGCCGTTGTATTTTTTTGTAGGGACAGCTAAAATCAAACATATACTCCAGTTCACCTGTAGGTCTTGCAGAGTTGCGACAAAGAATTGTGACAGAATGCCGATTATTGATACTGGAGGTATTTGCAAATGTACGAGGAGGCTTTAAAAATATTATTGTATGGAGGTCACAGGAGGTTATTTCGAACATGTAATTGGTTAAGTTAATGAAATTTTATGTTTTTTGTTACTGATGTTCAACCAATCATCATCCAGCCTCAAGAGTCCACTGCTCAACATAGGCCTCTTCCTCATGTTTCCAACCCCGTCTATCTTGCGCCGCCACCAATAAATTAGTTAAATACAAAATTATTTTCAACGTGAATTTGTAAATAAAAAAAGATCGCCGTGTAGAGAAAAAAATACCAATCAAATGATGTACCACTCGACCACACCTGCTATTTAAAAAATACTTGGGGTTGATGCGGGGCAATGGGGGTTTACATTGGAGGGCATGAATTTTGCATGAAAATTTGACTTCTTCCCAATACAAATTGAAGTGTGTTTTTTTATTTTGAAGAAACTCTTGGATTTTTAGTTTCTGGGGGGGGGGTCAAATTTTCGTTGGAATACACTGTATATAAGACTAATATAAATTTTAGTATATCATTGTCCTTAAAAAAGTAGTCTATAGCTTTTTTAGTCCTCTAGGTGCCCGTGTACCTGAGATATGTCCATCGAAAGGGTCAGAAATAGCCCTTTTTACCCTATATTTAAAAAGCTATATCTCTGAGCTCAGTGGACCGATTTTAACTCACTGTCTTTTTTTTATTGTAATGTCAACTTTTTGATGAAACAATTCACAAAATCGCAGTTTATTTTATAGGTTAAGTTAACGAAAAGAAAACTTAAAGAAAAGTTTTAAAAACCGGTATATTAAAGAATTTTTAAATAGCTTTTAAACGAGCATCACTAAATTAAAATCCTTCTGGTAGATTCAAAGATACACCTATTTAAAAGTACTTTTTCCTGACAATCTTATATAAATAATATAAAATACTTATTGAATTTTTTGGCTCGGACTTTTTTGGCCATCTATTTTTTTTGGCCACCTAAAAATTGAGCTTTTTGCGTCACAAGTAAGCCAGCACATATGGTCATAAAATATTTTTCACATCTATTTGATTATTATGCAATATTAAAACGTAAACGAATTATTAAAATAGACAACAAAACATTTAGGTGGTCAAGAATCAAAGTTATGACGGTTTGAAAGTATCGAAAATTTATTTTTTAGGAAATGTAGGGTACCTGATAATACTCATCAATCTTTATTTTATTGAAAATAGTTAAAATTGAAGCAAAACTAGTGTTCACGTATTTAATACCTCAAACTAAGTTCTAAATTGAAACTCCATAACTTTGATTCTCGACCACCTAATAGCTTCCTTGAACGATTAAAAAGTTTTAATATTGCAGAGTAATTAAAAAGATAAGAGAAATCATTAACCACCTCATGTGTTGGTTTACTTATAAAGCAAAAAGCTCAGATTTTAGACGATCAAAAAAGTAGTTAACGGTCTGGATTAATAAATTCAAAACGTAGACATTGTTGTATACATGTAGAACTACTTTCACCTAAATTTGCAAATCGAGATTGTCAGGAAAATACTATCAGTTTACAAATGATTCCTATACCTTCGAATCTACTAAATGAATTTTAATTTACCAACGCTTGTTTGAAAGCTGTTAAAAAATCGCTTAATCTACCAGGTTTAGTTATTTTTTCTTGTTTGGTTAAATTTTGACAATTAATTGAAAATCGTAAACTATTGTACGTTTTTGTTACGTTCTTCTTGACCTATAAAATAAAACTTATCCTTTGCTGCTTTGTATAAGCAGCATATTATTTGTGTATATTTATATGTTTAAATTATTTCATCGAGAATTAAGAATAAAAAAATGAGACATTGTAAGTTAAAGTAGGAGAATACCACTTCAAATATAGGGTAAAAAGGGCTCAAGCTCAATTTTTAGGAGGTCAAAAAAAATAGTTAAAACCCTGGATCAAAAAAAGTGGTAAGTAGAAATTGTTATGCATATATATATATATATATATATATATATATATATATATATATACATATATATATATATATATATATATATATATATATATATATATATATATATATCTGTACCGTAGGGGTAAAGGGTAGTAACTCCATTTTTTTCTAATTTTGACTGTGGCTAAGCTTAATATGTTCCAATCTTATTTGTGGCAAAAGATGGTATGTGAAGTATTACCGGAGACCTAGATATTCTCATAAGAAAAAGTAGTATATCCTTTGGAAAACGAGGTAAAGCACAGTAACTCCATGAGCTGTCGGATTTGTTTATCAGGTACGCTAATTCGCGCGTTGTAAACAGCAATGTCTCCACACTATAACAGTTATAGTGTTGGTCACCTTAATTGACAAAGCGTATTACTTAATAGATAGTTGATAGTAACAAAAAATAAAAGCAAAAATGACTTCCTCCGTGCTATGAAAGTCATTATTTTCGATCCAAAACTGCCAAGAAATATCTAGGACCAGAATTAAGCCGTGAAAAAATGTACAAATTATATACCTTAAAGTATGAAGAAGACCACATTCCAAAGAATGAAATTGTTAAATTATGGCTGTATAAAAAAATTTTCAATAATGATTTTAATTCAACATTTAAATCGGTTTCCGTGGATACTTGTAATAGTTGCGATCGGTTTATGCTACAATTAAAAACCTGTTCCGAGCAAGAAACAATAACATTACGGCGAAATTATGAATAGCATCTTTAAAAAGCAGAAAGTCGATACAAAGTGAAAGCAAACGATAAAAAAGGAAAGCAGACAATCAGCTGGAAAAACTAAACTTATAATGTGTGATTTGCAGAAATGCTTGCCTACGCCTTGTTTGACAAATAACCAAAGTTTCTACAAGCTGAAATTATGGACTATAAATCCCACGATATACGACGCCACAGAAAATAAATCGTATTACCTTATCTGGGATGAATCCGAAGCTGGAAGAGGTGGCCATGAAATTGCCTCGGCATTAAATAAATGGGCTATGACAGTTCTATCACAAACTGATGTGGAAGAATTGGTTATTTGGTCAGATAATTGCCCTAGTCAAAATCGCAATGTTGTGGTAATGATGAGCTACTTTTTGCATTTGAATATCTGTCCTAATTTAACCATAAATATCTACTGAGAGGACACACTCATTTAGAAGCTAACCAAGTGCACGCTATAATTGAAAGATCTGTAAAAAAACAGCCAGCAATGCAGATCGTAACGCCTTGGGATTTGTAGCAATTAATTAGTTCCATAGGTGTTCAGGTAATTAATATGGACAAAGATGACTTTAAAAATTTTGAAGTATTTTACGCTCAGTCTTAATCCCTATTCATCAGTAAAAAGAAAAAAAAAATAAAAAAAATAAAAGAAAAAAAAAGTAATAATTTCTTTATTTCAAACATAGTCAAATTCCAAGTAAAAAAAGACACACCGACCATAATTTTTTATAAAGAGGCTTTTGACCCAAAGAAATAAGAGATAAGAAATTAGACCCAAAGAATTGCACGTCGCCAGAAGAGCTGCAACTGCGACCAATCTTTCAGAGCAGTTACCACTTCGATATTAAAAACCGAAAGGGATCACACAGAAGAAAAAGGATCACTTACTAATTCTTTTACAATGTCAGTTTCATGAGTTCCATAGAAATTTAGTTGTAACCAAAAAAAAATGGTGATAGCGATGATGAGTAAATGTTTTTTTATCATTGTTTGTGTTTTTCTTTGAGTTTATGTAGGCACTTACTATTTTGTACACTGTTTTATCTGCTGGTACATGCCGAGGCAAAAGACCTTAACTCCGAATATTATCCAACATATAAACAATTTTTTTATCACAGTAGGACAATATTGATTAACTAAGATATAACGTTACAATTATATAAATACATAATTTCATATGTCTTCAGATTAAGAATTATTGAAATAATTTTCTAGAACTCACTCATCTTATTTTTCCATTATCTCAAAACTTCACTAGATAAATATACTAGACTTTACCTCTACGGTACATATATATATATATATATATATATATATATATATATATATATATATATATATATATGCAATTTGAGATTATCAGAGGAAAAAAGAAGAAGATTATCAATTTACAAATAATAAAAATACGATTTTCAAAAAACTGGCTATTTTTTTTAAACAGCTGTACCTTCTCTTAAAGGATTTTAATTGTATAATAGTTATCTATACATAGTCTTTATTCGAAACAGTAAAGTTAAAACAACAATAATAAAAGTAAAAGTCAAGCAAAATATACAAAAACTAATATAGATGTTAAAAAATCCAAATCCAAAACTGAGGATTTAAATATTAAGAAAGAATTAAAATAAATCAAAAAAATGTGTAAATGATTTAATTAAAAGAAGAAAACAATACTATTCTTTACTTATAATTATTTTTAGTATTTAGTAAATAAATCTTACCATAGGTTGTTGCCACAAGAGCAAATAAAACAAATACCTTAAGTCCTGCCATATTTATGAGAAAGCTCTAACCAACTAATTCGTTTTCTTTATATACAAATCAAACTGGATCAAAATTTACTATGTTAAGTAAGGTAATGATAACAAGAATTATCAGATCGTGTAAAGTACAATAAAAAAAAATTATATTGGGCAAAATGAAGAGAGTCAAATACTTTAGATATGCAGATATCTCAATATGATATATGAATATGATATTCAATTCAAAGGAATTTTTGGAAATTTTCGTGAGGTTGGTTTAGTATTGTCATCATAATTTAGCTATGTATTGCATGTTAAGTGTAGACGAATTTTATCATAAATATTATCAAGAAAAAAAAAGAGATTTATTTATACTGATCAGTATATTTCAAAATCGAATTAGAAATCGACATATAGAGTTGGTATATGAAACACAGATACATAGAATAAGAAAAAATATTAATGATGTGGTACATGAACTAAAATACTAGAAATGCTTATTATAGTTGCTACAGAATCCAAGACAAGAATACAGTTAATTACTATTTATAACTGGGAATAAGCCACAATTAAAGATAAAAAATACGTTTATTGACGTTTCAATTTCCAATTCGGAAATCGTTCTCAAAATACAAACAGTAAATTTACTGTTTGTATTTTGAGAACGATTTCCGAATTGGAAATTGAAACGTCAATAAACGTATTTTTTATCTTTAATTGTGGCTTATTCCCAGTTATAAATAGTAATTAATTTACAATGCCACAAGAAAATAGCTTCAGAACAAGAATACAGTTTGCATAAAATATAGGGGAATATAATCATCGTTTTAGTAGGATAAAAACATTATACAGTGTGTCAATTTTAAAACTTACAATGGCTATACCTCACGAACAAAAGCTGATATCTAAAAAAGCTTGAAACCGTTTCTAGAATAGTAAGGGGGAACTAAAATGACATTAGAGAACTCTCCCCAATTAACTCCTTAGGCCCACCCACCACAACTAAAAAAGTTCAAATTTCAAACCCCTACTTGTGGTACATCATTGAAAACACAATAAAAATGCATAAATAATCTAATTGCATAAATAATAATTATACAGAGCGAAGCAATAATTGTTAAACTTTGGCTTAAATGGAAAATTTAATGAGGTTTTTGTTGAAATACAAATTTGTTTAAAATGTCAATTAAGTAAATGTTCAAAGTGGATTCTGTTGTCTTGTAAACAATAATACAGCCCATTTTCAAATTCTGCACAAACTTTGGCAAATGTTGTTCTATTATTAGCGCGACATGCTTGCGTAATTCTTTCTCGCAATTCTCCAAGTCACGAGGTTGATTTTTATAAACAACTGACTTGAGGTAACCCTATAGAAAAAAGTCAGGTGGCAGTAAGTCTTGTTACCTAAGTCGCCACTTAAAAGAACATCTCTTTCCAATCCATTTGTTCGGATCATTAGTATCCAACCAGTACCTAAGTGAATCTGCATCGTGAGGAGGTGCTTCATTTTGTTGAAAGTACAGCAAATCTTCGTCTAGAGCTAGGTTGCCTTGATCGTCCCTTGTTTCTCTAAATCATGCACAATTACAGATTCTATGGTGTTTTACAGCTTATCAAGATAAATGTCGACACTTACATTGCCTGGTATGAACAAGGAGTCAATTATAGTATAGCCTAATATTCAACAAATATTTTTTAACATTCTCGGTTCAACGCGAATTCTTTCAGTCATGAGTTCACAAAACTCAGTTATATATATATATATATATATATATATATACATATATATATATATATATATATATATATATATATATATATATATATATATATATAGGGTGGTCCTTAAGTAACTGTACAAAAAGAAACCGTAGATTCTGCACTTTAAAATATAACGATTTAAATGAACTTGCTTAAGTAAAATATTGATATTAAGAAATATACAGGGTGTTAAGGACGAAATTTACAACTGGGTGCTATTAAATATAAGAAATTATAATTTAATGCACACGTTGATGTAGCTTATAGAGGGCGCCACATATGCCACGTATGTGGCATAAATTTGCACCTAACTTTTTTTCTCTTTGAGTTATCGATGTTTTTGATAAAAAATATTAAAGATACATTATTTTAACATAAAGAGGTATACCCGTTAATAACTTTAAAACTCAACAGTTTTCGAGATAATTGCATTTTACAAATCAACTGCATAATTCTGATTTACCGCAATTACTCCAGGCAATGAAATAAAAATGGACAAAAACATTAATACTTCTGAATTTTGGTATGGAATATATTTAATAAAGTTAATAGCTAACGAAGCATTAAATAAAATATCAACATGATAATTAATAATATGATTTGACAAAATAATAGGATAATTGGATTTGACATCAAACATTTTACGTTTTATATTAAATTAAAGTGATAAACATTTTATTTTTCAAACCAAGTTAAGAAATAGTTAAACTTATTAAGACTAAACTCTTTGTCAAAGTAAGTGTTCGATATGTCCACCATTATCCTCAATATATTTATCAATCCGTTCCATAAAAGATCGTCTCATATTAAATAGCATCATCGGTTCAATAGAAACTGCTGCAGTATTTATTTCTTCCCAAAGTTGTTTGGGAGTGTTTATGGGATTCTTGTAGACACGTTGTTTCATAGTGCCCCATACACCAAAATCTAACGGATTAAATTTTGGGCTACGTGTTGGCCAAGGAAAATAACTACCACGACCAATCCAACGTTCCGGAAAGTTGGTGTTCAAGTATGTTGTTGACAATAAATAGCAACCATATCTACTCTAAAGCATCAAATTGTAAATTTTCGTCAATAAATATTTACAAATGTGAAAGTTATGGCGAAAAATAAAATTTTTAATTTCCACTTTAACACCCTGTATCTTTGTTAATATCACCATTTTTCTAAAGCAAGTTGACTTAAATCGTAATATTTATCCAATGCTAAGGTTCCTCAGGATATTCTCAAGTTGTTATCCTTTGGTCCTAAATTTGGCTTACATCCAACTTTCGCTTACATCGCCCTAGACAACCCATATCTGTCTTAGATAAGATTTACAGGGCGACGGTATCGTGTTTAAAAACCCACCCTAATCTTCTCGTTCTTACTAGTGATAAAGGGAATGCCACTGTCCTCATGGATAGAGATCAATATCTCAGCCTTAGTCAATCGTTGTTAGATGATGATAGATACGATCAACCTCTCTCTACCAACGCTTGTTCTAAATTCACTAATAAAATAAATACATTCATCACTCACTTAAAAAACTTAAAGATCATAGATCAAATACTTGCAAAATATTTACATAATTATGATGGATATGCTCCCAGACTTTATTGTCTACCTAGAATACATAAGCCCACATTGATCATGAGGCCGATTGTTTTCTCCATTAATCCACCAAATATTAATTAATATTGTCTAAATCTTATAATTATAATAACAACTTAATATCGTTGATTCAGAACACAACAGAACTGTTGTAATTAGTATTTGACACTAATTTTTAGGTCTTTGACGACAAATATTATCTTCAAATATTTAGGACACATTTGGGTTCGTCAATCTCTCCTATTCTAGTTAATTATATACTGGATGATTTAGTATCTGACCGTTTGGGTCTTTTAGATTTCCAAAATCCCTTTTATTAAGCGGTATGTTGATGACTTATTACTAGCCTTACCCCCAGACAAGATTCAGGCCACTTGTCTTTGTTCAATGAGTTTGATCCTCATTTACAGTTCACTGTCGAACTTGAGGACTCCAGCACAAATAGTATTCTCTTCTTAGACATGCGTGTTATCAGAATGGGAGATAACACCTTAACCATAAGTTGGTATAGGAAACCAATGGCCTCTAATAGGTTTCTCAACTACCATTCTTGTCATCCTTTTAAATATAAATTAAAAGTAATTAAAGCTTTAAGCTGCAGGCTAAATAGACTAATAAATCCGGTTAATCGAAGGAAATCCCTTAAATTACTTAAAGATATTCTGATTGAGAATTCCTATCCATCCTCCCTCATTAATAAATACCTTTACGTACAAAGCTATGGTTCCTCTTTAAATGACATACCCAATGGTGAGAAACTTAGAATAATATCAAATAATTCCATTAATAACACTGTTCTGCCTAATACTGTACTTCTGACTCCAACCACCCATTACCCATCTCTACCTTATTTTTCTCAAGTTACTGAAAAACTTATTGAACTGTACAAACAGAATAATGTACCTGTTAAAATTATAGTTAAGAATGCTAAGACTGTCAGAAATTTGTTTTCTAAAACAAAAACACCCTTTTCCCTTCTGGAACAAATAAATGTCATCTATCATATACCTTGTGCTGGGTGTGACTCATGTTATATTTTTTATTAATTGAGCAGCATCTTGTTACAATATTTATTTACGTTTTTTACTAATTTTTTGTTTGTTTCGTTTGTGTTTACGTTATTATAATAATAAAAGTTTAAAGAAAATTAAAAAGTTTTTGTTTTAAAAATGCAAGTGCTCCGTTTTTCGTGCAGGTGAGTGTAGTTAGATTTTTTTAATGTAATTTAAAAAGACATTTTTTCTGTTTATTTCATATATGTTGGAATTTCTCTAATTATCAGAAGTCACTCATGTAAATTAGTTTTTATATTTTAACAGATTTTGAGGTAAAATGGTCCCTCCATGTTGAGGCAAAATCACTCCGGTGACCATTCGACCAATCGACCAAATAAAGTTTTGAGTTACACGGAAATATTTTTATAATTATCAAATATAGGTATATTATCTTTGCAAAAATAGTGGTTGTTGCTCTTAAGTACTTAAAAAAAGGTCTGAAAATCATAATGTGTTGGTAAGTGAACTAAATGTAGACTACATACTTTATTCGTAAGGGAGATGTCAGATCATTATCGGTACTTTCTTTTAGGAAACAGATTATTCGAAAGTCTATAATATTGCCGAAAGAACTGAAGACTTACTTAAGGTAATATGTTTTAGAGATGGAAGACCGACTATTCGCCATGGTGAAGAAAAACATTTGTGAAAGAGCCTACGAGCTTGTGGTGAGGAATGGCAATAAACACCTGTTTTCGTAAAAAAAAGATCA